CGCGGGCGCTGACAGGGAGGTGACCGTGTGCTTTTGCCTCGTCTTTTCGTCGTCTACAGAAATCCTGTTTTTGTTTATCTCAGTTTTGCTGACGACGACGCGACGTTTCCTACGGTGAGATAGACAAAAGGAAAGGAATAATAGAAGAGAAGATACTTTTTTTTTTAGTGAGTCAAAGAAATAGAATAAATGAGTTTTTTTTTTTCAGTGAGACGGGGAGGGGGTGGGGGGGGATATGACAGAAAATATCAAAATGTTGTGATTAGATGTTTGTGTTTATGTTTGGTGTAGTTATGAATGGTATTTGTTGTGGTTGTTTTCTTTCGTTATTGAGTGATATGCCAAAGAGAACTTAAGGAATATACTTACTATATGCAGAATGTTGTCTAAAAGTTGTCGTCCTGAATTGAAAATATACCAGGATTTTTTTCACATTCTTGATGATGAGGGACGCGTAATTATGTCCTTAATTTCCGTTACCTTGAATGAATTAACCTTTGTGATTAAGGCCAATTAAGAATTCCCCTAAGGACTGATGGGACTGGCATCGACCTCTCTCCTCACTCTCTCTCCTCTCCTCTCTCCTCGTTTTTTGTTCTCTCTCTTTTCTCTTTTCTCGTCTCTTGTCTCTTGCCTCAGGCCTCATGTCTCATGCCCCTTGTCTCTCTCTCTATCTTTGTGTGCGTGCGTGCGTGCGTGCGTGTGTGTGTGTGTGTGTTTGTGTGTGTGCAGTATGTATATATGCATATATACATATATATGTGTGTATTTGTCTGTGTGTCTCTGTGTGTCTGTGTGTATGTGATATCTCTCTCCTTCACATCGTTCCGTTCTCTTCTATTCATCCCTTCCCCCTTTTCCTCTGATTGCCCTCCTCCCTCCTATTCTATTTTCTGTTCACATATGTAAATACACCACAGTAGAAAAAGGAAAAGTGTCCTTATAGAACGTAAATCGGTAAGACATTTTTCCCCCGAGTCGTTCAATCAAAACAACTGTGGTATGTAACAAAAATAACACAAGCCTGAATAACACAAGCCTGAATAACAAAGGTGGTTTCCTCGGCGACACCAGGAATATGTTTAAACGCAACAACACTTAGGACAAGATTGATATCAACAATAACCTGAAGGGAAAGGCGCTGGAACTACATTTGACATTAGGTATAGAAGATTGAATAATACAAAAACAATTTTATCAGTAGTTTAAACATCACAATAAAAGTAGCAACAATAACACACGAAAGAATATTTGAGGGTTGAAGTAAGCAACAGCAGCAATGGTAGAGTCACTGACAATAATAGATCATACATACTAACAACAATAACATTATTAACAATAGTTCAGACAAAGCAATACTAGGAAGTATCACATTCTAACAACATTACTTTAAACACAGCAACACCGGCTTACAGCAGCAGGACAGACCGTTGTGCAAATAGAACCAGCCTGATTGAGAGTCTCGTGTGTTTACTTCTTTTCATCCTGCTCCTCCTCTCCTTCTTCGCCATTTTTTCTTCTTCTGCCTGATCCTCCTCCTCCTCCTCCTCCTCTTTTTTCTCTTTCTTCTCCTTTCCCTTCCTCCTCTTTTTTCTCTTTCTTCTCCTTTCTCTTCCTCCTCTTTTTTCTCTTTCTTCTCCTTTCTCCTCTTCCTCCTTCTTGTTTTACTTCTTATTCTTCTGCTTCTTCTCCTTTCTCTTCTTCTTCTTCCTCGTTTCCAATTACGTAGTCTTCCAGTGCGTTCCTCTTGCTGTGTGTGTATTATGGACCACTGAAGGCTTGTCACACGAAAGCTATGTACTGTTTGTGAATACATTGTACGTGTTAGTATTTGGACAGCAGTGTTGGTGAATGCATATATATATATATATATATATATATATATATATATATATATATATATATATATATATATATATATATATATATAAGGACAACGTAATATTAAAGTTGTTATAACAGGTATATTGTTATACTTGTTCTATTGTATTAAAATGACTTGTTTCTTAATTGTCAGTCTTAATTAATGAATTAATTCACTAATTAGTTCTTAATAACAATTCAATGACAACTATAAGTTTGGCTGGAGAGAAGTAGAATTTGCTTTGAGATGCTTGTGATGCGGATGTTTGGGCTAGAACCCCCCCCCCCCCCCGTTTCTCTTTGTCTCTCCTCTTCTTCCTTTCTCTCTTCTCTTCTCTTCTCCCTTTTTATTTCTCTTTCACTTCTTTTCTCTTCTCTTCTGTTCTCTTCTCTTCTCTTCTCTTCTCCTCTCCTCCCCTCTCTCATCCCCTCTCCTCTCCTCTCCTCTCCCTCTCTCTCTTCACATAACTGACAGTACACACTGAACACAACACAGCATTGAAAGAAAACAAACAAACCAAACAAAAATCAAACCAAGTTAATTCTATCATCAACCGATAACACGCACAGGAAGCCGAATTCACATTATTCGAACAGCTTTGATGGGCAGGTTATTGACTTGCCGTCAGAGAAGGAACATCAAAGGACAATACGGCTGTCTTTTCATACGCGCTCACACATACATGCGCTACATACGTATATGAATATGTGCGTATATAGAGGGAGAGAGGAAGGGAGGGAGAGGGAGAGGGAGGGAGGAAGGGAGAGGGAGGGAGGAAAGGAGGGAGGGAGGGAGGGAGAGGGAGGGAAGGAGGGAGGGAGGGAGGAAGGGAGGAAGGGAGGGAGGGAGGGAGGGAGGGAGAGGGAGAGAAGGGGGAGGAGGGAGAGTGCAGTTGGTTGGATACATATAGAGACACATAATAAAAAGAAGTAGATTGATGGATAGATAAATTCTTTCTGCAAACATTCATACATTCACACACACACACACACACACACACACACACACACACACACACACACACACACACACACACACGCACGCATTCCCCCCCCCCCTCCCTCTCTCTCACACACACACATACACGCACGCACGTACGCATCTCCCCTCACACATTTCACACATTCACACACACCCTCACAGTAGATTTCAAAACCACATCTTTTCAGTTCTCATTTTTTTTTATCTAAGATGTGTTATGTATCCAGCAAGTCTCTCCTTCTCTCTTCTCTCGAGAGCTCGAACCCCCGACTTCTGAATAAGAATTGGACAAGTGAATGTACGTGTTTGCTTTCATGCTCACCCGAATTCTAATGCTTACGGACGTACTTTCAAAATGTACATCAAAGAGAGAGAGCTGTTTCTTAAGACCGTGAGATTTCTCAGTTGCTTTTTTTTCATTTTCTTTCATAGTCCTTTTTTTATTTATTATATTTTTTTTATTTCTTTATTTTTGCTTCTTTTTTCTCTTTCTTTTCTTGACTTTTAAGAATGGGGATGGGTGAGTGAATGAGTGTGTGAAAAAATGAATGAGATAGTGACTGTATGAGCCAGTGAACAGGTGAATGAGTCAGTGAACAGGTGAATGAGTCAGTGAGTAAGTGAGTGTTTATTAACGTGAGTAACAAATTTACAAGCGAGTCTGTAAGTGAAAAAAAATGAGTAAGAGAGTGAAAAAAAACTAGTGAATGAAGTAACGACACAAACAAATGATAAAAAGGTAAACAAAAACAAGTAAAATTATGAGATAAGCCTGTCAGATTAGGAAATTGATGTATGTTGATACGATCGGTCCCATAAAAGACACAAAGTTCGTGAGTTCCGGATTATTAACGTTGTCAGTCTAAGGAAGGTACAAAAAAAAATAATTTTCTTTAAGCCACTTTTCTTTGAAATTTTCTTTTTTATATCTTTTTTTTCAATAGTTTTGTTGTGTGTAAACCATATTTTTTTTTTTTTTTTTTGCATCTATTTCTTCTTTTTTTTATATCTTCTTTCCTTTTTTTGTAGCTTCTCATTTATTTATTTATTTATTTTCTATTCCCTTTATCAACATTATCTTTTGCATATGATTTTTTGTATTTACTTTTCTATACATTTTCATATCTATTTTTCTCATCTGATTATTTATATTTTTTATTATCTTTTTATTATTTTTTTATTATCAATATCTGTGTGTGTGTGTGTTGTATGTGTACATGTACATTTACGTGTATGTGTGTGTTATGGCGTGTATGGATTATGTTATAATAATTGTTATGATTATTGTTATTATGGGATTCAGGGTAGGCAGTGCATGGTCTTGACACATTGACCTATTAAATAATATGTAGTTAGGATATGTATTTTATGTTAGATTATATACATTAGGGATCATGCTGTTTCTTGTCTATTATGACAGGTATTGTAGTTATTTCATTAGTTCCATTATCATTCTTTATTCATTATTTATTCATTGTAATTATTCTTATCTTTTTTGTTAGTATCATCGTTATCTTCATCATTTTATCGTTTTCTTTATCATCATCTTAGTTAGTATCATCATTATCTTCATCATCTTCATCTTCATGTTTATCTTTTTTTTTATCCTCATCCTCTTCCTCTTCATTTCTGTTTTAATCTTCGTCACTATCCCATTTTTGTCATTATCCTCTGCATCTTCATCATTTTTACCTTCATCTTTATCTTCTTCTTCTTAATTATCGTCATCGTTATCGTCATCGCCTTCAGTATGTTATCAGTTTCATTATCATTATTGTTAGTATTGTCTATTTCGTTATTAATTAATGTAATTGGTTTTATACTGAATTATCTTTAATCGTATTTTGTCAAAGGAAGAAATGGAAAAGGAGAGGGAGAGGTAGATGGAAAAAGAAAGGGAAAGGGAAATAGAGAGAGAGAGAGAGAAGAAAAGGGAGAACAAGGGACAGGGAGGAGAGAGGAGAGAGTTAGATAGATAGAGTGATAGAGAGAGAGAGAGAGATTGGAGGGAGAGGGAGAGGGAAAAGTAAAGAGAGAGGGAGAGGAAGAGAGAAAGACAGACAGACAAAAAGGAATAAAGAGGGAAGGAGGTGGGGAAAGTAGAGTTTAAGAAATGAATAAGAGGAACATGAAGAAAAAATATAACGTAAAATAATGCCCATGACCAAGCTATAACATTAAGAAAACGAGAGAAAAAAATCCTCAAGAAGTGAAACACTAAAGAAAACGCGTTTGTTTATAGCGCATCACGGATAAGCATTAAAGAAAA